CTCGCACAAGCTCTTGACTCAATCCTTATCCTTTCGTCCTGAAATATATTAGCTAGAAATGCGATTGCTTTATAAAAAAGAGAGCCATTTTGAAATATGAGTCTTTTACTCTTTAGAAAATAATTTGTGCAACCTCATATACGCGGTTTTGCATTTTGTTGATACGCGCTTTATATATATTTAATACATACTTGCGCCGGGCACTTGATGTTCGGCTCCGTCCGTACTTAGACTTTCTTAGTTGTTTCTTTTGCTGATTTGCACTTTGTTATACTAAAATTGTATGAGCTGTAAAACTGCATACCCAAAATTGTTCTTAAACTCTATGAAAGAGTTCAAAATATTTCTGAAATTTTTTTGAATTTTTCTAAATTTTGTATAAAGTTTTACCAATATTTTTTGTAAAAATAATAAAAAATATTAACAAGAAAAACGTTATGAATATTTAAATAAAAAAATCAACACGTGAACATTTGTTTGGGTCACCATAATAAATAAGTACATCAAAATAAAACTTTGTTAAATTGTTTAAAATTGATTTTGATTTAGTGGAGGAAAACTCTATGCCGCTTACAAGGCCATGCTGCGATCGGGCGCAACGGGCGCTATGTGGGACCGCTATAGGGATCTGAAGAGGGAAGCGCTATAAGAAGGGATAGACCGAAATACTTGAGTACGAAGAGCTTGAAATGCCGGCCGGCAGGAAGAATACCCGGAAATTTAACCAGAGAGTTAGGCGACTTACGGAAGCTTTCAAGACCAGGGCGTACTCCTGTAAGAATAACAATGGCGACTTAGTTGCCGATGGTCAAAACGTACTTAAGTTATGAAGGGAACACATTTCCACCCTACTATATGGTAGCACCACGGAAAGTTATGGAGAAGAAGAACCCCAGCCCGCAGTCGATGATGATGAAGTCGATGTTCCAACGCTTGACTACGACGAGGTACGAATAGAAATAACGCGGCTGAAAAACAACAAAGCTGCTAAAGCTAACGGCCTGCCAGCTGAGCTATTCAACTACGGGGGCGAGGAATTGATAAGGTGCATGCATCAATTCTTGTGCAGAATATGGTCTGATGAATGCATGCCCGACGACTGGAATTTAAGTGGGCTCTGCCTACTCCACCACGCCATTCGCGCCAACTACCGCGAGATCAGCATTCTAAGCATACAAGGTCTTATCGAGCGTATTGTGTGAAAGATTGAAGCCAACCGTCAATGAACTCATTGGGCCTTATCAGTGTGGCTTTAGACCTGACAAATCCACTATAGACCAGATATTCACAATACCTCAAATCTTGAAAAAGACCCGCAAGAAAAGGATCGACACTCACCACCTATTTGTCGACTTTAAAACCGCTTTCGACAGCACTAAAAGGAGTTACTCATCACGACTGTGCAGGCATATGGCGCAGAAGCATGGACAGTGACAACATCCGATTAGGCGGCTCTTAGGGTATTCGAGCAAAAGATGTTGCGGCATATTTACAGGCCTTTACGCCGTTGGCGGCATAGTACATCGAATGAAAATACAGCGGCTCCGCTAGCTTGGCCATGCCGTTCGAATGGACACCGACGCTCCAGCTATCAAAGTATTCAACTAAAGAATAGGGGCTTTAGGGTATTAAGCTACATATGTGTAAGGATTTTCTAAGCAATTTTAGAGAAATTTAATCAAGTATTGCTACATCTGCGAGATCCATGCAATTCTGCGTACAGTGAGCAGTGCTGCCGTTTTGATCCAAATGGATCAAAATGATTTGTTTTCATCGAATTTTTAAAAGATACTTTTATTTTTAGCTTAGTATAAATTGTGATACATTTTAATTCACAACCAGGTTGAGGGTAACTCTTCCCATCTTCCACCCAAATCAATATATTTGGTTGCCCTTTGTGAAATAGAAATTGACATTTTCATAAAAATTTTTGATTTATATTTAAAGACGTTTTTATATTTATTGAACTTAGGTTTAAGTGTTTGAAGACCAAGTGCATGGGAAAACCCTAAAATAGCTGCTTTTCTAACAAAATCGTTTTACGTTCCTTTTTATTTAAAATTGGGTAGGTTCAGAAGGCGCAGCAGTCGAGCGCAACCGTTGCCAAAAAAAAAAATCAGTGATCGTTATGCGTCTTCTGAACAGCTTGATACTAGATTTGTAAAACTGTCGATAGTGCCACCATCAATAGTTTCCATGTTTCAGAAAAAAACTATCATTACTCGTTGATAGTTTCCAGCAATACTGTCGATAGTGTCAACGCTACCATCGATAGTCAATGTAATGTTAAAAACTGCTCCAAATTAACTGGGACGGCATCGAAAAATAAAAAAAAAACAAAATATTGAAAATATAAACACACGTAGGGCAGTTTCTTAAGTAACTTTTAACTTTAAAATTCACTTTATGTATAAATATTGCCTAAACATGTATAGTTCTGTCTAAGTAAAGCATTTTATTATCGAATTTTATTTATTAATTTACATATCTATTACTGAAGCTTACAATTAAAAATAAAATTATTAGCCTGGTAAAGAAAGCTTCCTCTTATGATCTATAACACGTGGCAACAAAAAAGGGAAAATTGCGGCAAATGTTACAGCTGTTTTTGCTTGACTTGCCAGTGCTGATTACAAATCCATGAGCATAAGGTTTCCATCGGCTCCAGATTTTGTGCACAACGAGGTCAAAATGTCAAAAAATCGAGTTTTTTGGCAAAATTTCAGAAGCTCTAGCAAAGAATCAGAAGGCGGTATTAGGCTTAAATTAAAGCTAGGAGTCTCGACTACTATCCCGGAAAATACCATCCCTACATCTTGACCTGATGGTCACTTATAGTCATTTATCGAACAGCAAAACCTGATTTTGTGCGAAGTTTGAGTACCCACCGCAATTAAACAAAAGGGGATAGAGCCTTCCACTTGGGCTGAAATTAAGGCTTGAACTTTCGACTATAATCGCTTAAAATACCATCCCTGAACCTTAACCCTAAGGTCACTTATAGTTATTTATTTAACAGCAAAAGCTGATTTTGGCTAAACTTATTTATTTTTTTCATTAGCACAGTATTTATTCCAGTATTTTTATATTGTTCAATAAATGACTTTAAGTGACCATCAGGTCAAGATGCGGGGATAGTAGCCGAGAGTTATAGCTTTAATTTAAGCCCCAGTTAAAGGTTCTATCATCTTTTGTTTTTTGTGCTAGACCTTCTAAAATATTGCAAAAAACGCGATTTTTTGACACTTTGACCTCGTTTTTCTCAAAATCTGGAGCTGATGGAAACTTTATGCTTACGGACTCGTAATCAGCATAAAAAAGTCTATCAAAAACAACTTTATCATTTGCCGCAACAAAATCACTGTTGCCTTGTTTAATTGTTGCTTATTATAAATTTTCAAATATGATATATTTTGCTTAAATTTCGTAATATAACTTTTCGATTTGTTTACAGCCAAGAAACATACAAACTTCAAACACCGAGAAATATTTTACTTCAGACATAGCCTTATGGTTTGAAGCAACGTTTAAATATAAAGGGAGCTTTTCAATTAAAGGTTCCTTGAAAAAACGGAGGAATCACAATGAAAGTACCACTTTTAATAAAAAATTGACTAACTTAAATAACTGACGCGCAGCTACATGGAGAAATTATAAATAAAATCGGCTGCGATAGAGGTTTTAAACTATCGATAGTCAACTAGTACTATCGATAGTTTAGCCTTTTTTGAGAAAAACTATCACTACTCATCGATAGGGGCAAAAAAATAAAACTATCGATACTATCGATAGTACCATCGATAGTTTGACACCTCTACTTGATACATTGGCTGTAAAATGCAAATCTCAAAGGTACACACCTCCTTGATGTCTCAAATGATCAGAAAAATATTACGACCATCTAACACGCAACTGTTGAGTTGATCAGAAGTACACAATAACGAATTCAGAAGGTGCAATCGCCACAGTTACTGAGCTGTTTCGTCTTCTGAACGTGCCCATTAAGTTTGTTTTCTTTCACCGAACATACCACCTTTAGTATGCATATGGCATCACTGTTAGCTACAGACAAGTAGACTGTTGTCGTTGACACTGCCTTAAGAATTTGAGTATGTATTGTGAAAATTACTTGTATGTATTTACAGTGTTACACAACAATTTGATATGTGATTTTAGTTAACTATGCGAACGAATTCAACTGTTACCCAGTATAAAAGCTTTATTTTCACCATGCATTTTATATAAAAACCTAATATTATTATTAAAAACTGTCAACAGTCTCAATTAAAAATTCAAACTACCATTTTAATTTAAGAATAAGAAGTTTTATTGAAGAATAATACTTTCATACTTGAATTTTTTTTCTTGATACTTTTGATCCTTTTTAGGGATATTTGGTGATACATTTCTTCTGAACGGTGCGGCAACACTAACAGTGAGCCAATGTTAATATTACCCAGCGTCGGAAGTAGTCATTTAAGTTTAATTTTTTTACGTTAGGGTTGATATATTCAGCTCAAAGACCTTAGTTAACCGTGGACAGAGGGGGAGGTATTTTTCACACATGATATTGATATGTATCTAATATTTGATAACTTAAAGTGTCGCTTTATATCTTCAAAGCAATTCATCATTTCATGCTTTGTTCACAGATCTGTAAAGTATTTATAAATAACAAGGCAAACAAAGTCACAGTTCTCCAAAAACAAAATCAACGCGCACTTGTTATAATAAATTAACCTGGTTTATCCTGAGTTTCGCCCGAAAAAAAAATTCAGCCGAACATTTGTCATCCGCCCATAATAAATACATGGAAACCAAAAGTGAAAAGTGAACCGGTTTGGGGAAATGAAATTCATGTTAAGGCTAAATATCAATTTCTCGTTTTCTAAGCTCACGCAATTATCGAAAATATTATGTTATTGACCAACTAACTTGTAGTAAGTTTTAAACCTATTACGCTAAAGCGTAAAACGTTATGTATATTGTTACAAACTCACGAATGCTCAGTTGTAAGCCATAAGCTTTGATAACACCGTAGACGTCCTGTTCACCGCGACCAGCCATAGCGATTAACTTCTGCTTCACATTCTTTGCATTGTCGTTGAATAGCGGGAAAAAGCTCATGAGATTGTTGTGGCTAAGAAAAGGACTTATTGCTTTGCGACCGGGTTTCCATTTCTTCACTGTGCATGCGAAAATTCAGCATAAAATTGGCTTTATACGAACATATAAACATATGTGTTATAACACTTATTCACCTGGATTCACAATAATCCCGTTAATGACACCGTTATTAAAGTGAGCATACAAATCTCTGGCTTTGTTGAGAAACTCAGATGAAGATGTGACATGCTCAATCACTTCCGGCTCGACAGTAATTATAATCGGAGTTGTGGCTACCCACACACAACCGGTTAAACTCTTTATTTCATCGAAACCACGGCTTACAGTGCTATAAACTTCTGCAATTGTATTGTAATTAACCATTTAACGTAATGTTTAAAAAATTTTAAGTACTCGGACACTTTTCACGGCACTTACTACTTAAATTAAAGAACTTATATGTGACCCCAATAAAAGGTAATCCGTACTGCGTCGGCAATTTGGATGTTATATTACGAAAGGATCTTCGTTTTTCATACAACCTCCAACTGGCGATGAGCAGCAGAATGGCTGCCGTCAGGATTACCGATTGCATTGAAATTAGAACACTCATACTTGTAACGAGAGCACCGTAAACACGTAGGGTGAAATGAACTAAATGTGAACAACTAAAGCTGTAAATGATAACTGCACAATCTTATATATATTCCTATAAACATGCATCTATATACATAGGAATGTAGAACTACATTATTACTTTTATTACAGTTTTATTATATCAGAAATTAAAGCTCTCAAAATCGTTTAGCGGTTGAAAGTACATATATATATAAGCATACATAAATATGTACAGTAAGTACAGTAAGTTGAACACTGGCGGTGCAGAACATTTTTTCCTACTATGAGCGTCAAAACTTGTTCTAATATAATAGTCACAATTATTTTCAAGAAAAATTTTTTTGCATTATTACCCTGTACGGCAAAATCAACTTTTTCTCTGGGTATTGGACCAAATCAATTTTTTTGATTTTTCCGTTTTTTGAAGTTGGCCTCCGAAATCGAGATATGGGCCTTCGAAGTTCGAAATAGGGCTTTTGGAAAAAAATTATATTTAAGTATTGCATGTAAATAACTAAAACCCTAAAAACATAGACGTAGTCCTCTTTTTTTATTGGTATTTTTTCCTTTTAAGTGTTTTTTCTAAAATTTTTATATACGAAGTATACAAATATGCCTATTAGACGAAAAGGGATTTAATCCCCTTAAAAACGATGCCAATTTTTTAAGAATCGGCGATGAACTTTTTTGGTTAAAATAGTTTTTGATACAAAAAATTATTTTTTACTTTTAAGTGTTTTTTTTCAAATTTTTATTCACGAAGTATATAAATATGCATATAAGGGAAAAGGTTTAATCTCCTCTACAACGATACCAATTTTTTAAAAATCGGTTTTTACTCTTTTTGTTTAAAATATTTTTTTATACAAAAAAGGGTATTTTTTCATTTAAATGTGTTTCTTCTCACATTTTTATATACGAAGTATACAAATATGCATATCACAAGAAAGATGGTTATTAACTCACCTTTACAACGATATGAATTTTTTAAAAATCAGTTCAAAATTTTCTGAAATATTATGTTTTAAAAGTTTACATGCAATAATTAAAAATAATTTTTTACCAAAGGTCCAATTTCGAACTTCGAAGGCCCATATCTCGGAGGCTTACTTCGAAAAACAGAGAGATTACTTTTTTGCTTATTTCAAAATCTCTTTAAAAATTTGGTTTCGTCCAATACCTAGCCGGGTGATATACAGTGTTATTAATATTAATTATGAAATATAGTTCGTTTTATAATATAAAGCATTTAAATCAAAGTTTCACACTTTATTTAAAGTTCACTAAAATTCAAAAAATTCTCATCATGATTTTAAAATTTTCATTCAGAACTTCTACAAAATATTCGAGTATGCAGTTTTGTTGCCCATTCACTTATAATGCAAGTTTATGGGGAATGATGCTGAAGTTACAGTCCTTGGCCAGGCATAAATCTATATTTACGCGCCTTTCTTCGTCGTCAACTAGGTTATGCGTATTTCTTCGCCGAACTTTTTCTTGAGCGTATTTTTTCGTAATTTGTTTTGTACGTGTCTTTTTTCACTTTCAAAACAATAGCGCGCCCCAATAGTCGCATTTGCCGACATGCAATGCACTAGCGTGTCATTCCTGGGATCCGAGATTGTAGACCTTGGGCAGGGAATTACTTTTTTTTCTATTTTTAACGTATTTTTTATTCAGGTTTTTTATTGTAGTTTTTAAATTCAATTTTTCAAAAAGAAAAATATTTGTTTTAAATTCATTTAATTTGTATGGCAAAGGTATTTCTTTACGTATATACATATGTACATGTTTTTCTCAAATGAAATTAGAATTTCAAATTTGTAATTTACATACATTTAAATTTAAATAACACTGATTTAATTTGAAAAATCTTAACCACCTCCAGGCGGCCTGGAATCTGCGACCTCAGAACCAGAAACGCTAGTCTTCACGCGACGCCAGAGCCGACATTTGTAAGAAAAGCGATTAAAAGCGTTTTATTCGTGGTTCGAAATGGTCGAACTTGTATGTCATCGCTTTAGCTCATCTAGTATGAACTGGTAGTTTTACTGACTCGTTTGGTTTTTCACTGCAGGGTAGATACTAAAGTTCAAAAACGGGAAGAATGTAGCATGCGCCAAGTACCTGAGTAATTTGGACGTGCAAAATACTTTCAAACTAAATATAAGATTAAAAGAATTAAAATTTACCTTACACTCACCTTAAGTTACCTTACCACAACTCACCACACCTCATTTAAACTAACCACACCTAAATTCACCAAAACCTAACCCACTACAACTGAACTTATCTTACCTTTGGAAACTATTTCGGGATTTTAGAGATACTCGGGATTTAATCAGGTTTTTCGAGACTATTTCAGGATTATTATTATTTATCGATATATTTAATCTCGAAAAACTTTAAATAGTCCCTAGAATCTTAGATATCTCGAAGCAGCCTAGAAATTCTCGAGATAGGGCCGAGAATCCCAAAAAAAAAAGTCCCGAAATAGTCTCAAGAATCCCGAATATACTGAAATAGTTCCGAAGTAGTCTCGAAAACTCCGAAGAAGTCTCGGAAATCTCGAAATGGTCCCAATAATCCAGAAACTCGTATGAATACTAGCATAATCGGTATATAGTAACATCCAACATACTTGTACTTTGCTATTTACGACAACATAATACTTTTGTATCTAGTAACTAACACTTGGTAAATACAATTATCCATTAATCAATTTAAAATGAAAATGTGTTAATAAGGCAATGACTCAATTTATTTGACGTATATTTTAGGTCACATTGAATAAGGAAAGTTATTCATTATTTAAATGAAAAATAAAAAATATTCAAAAGGCAACAACAAAATTAATTTGTGTTATAATTAATGTCTTGGTAAATGAATAAAATATTTGCTCTTTAAGGTAATAGTCTAAGCTACACTTCAGTTTTTTTAGTCTTGACTCTCCCTATTAGAGTAGGGCTGCCAGATATATCTGTTGCCAAACCGGGACACTTTAGGGAGGGCCTCTCGCCCCCTTCTCATTTTTCATTTCATTTGACGTGCGAAAGGATGTAGTGAAATTTTATTTTGACAGACAAAAACAAAAACATAAAAACATGAGATCATGAGATCATTACAACGTACGCCAACAAATCAAAACAACTTATCACAACCAAAGCACAGAGAACTTTTCACAATGCATGAAGCTTTTTTTATTCTTTATAAAAATACAATTTATAATAAATATATGAAAAACATAGGAATAAAATTGTTAAACTTTGTGTAACAGACTTTTTATACATATTTTTAAAATGAAGTTTTGCTGCCCATTAAATTTTAGTTGATTTTTGGTATTGTTTTTACTGAGAGTTTCTTCCATACAAACTATGTTCGGTAATTCTTTTTATATGGAAGACACTGTCAGTAAAAAAAAATAAATGCTAAAAATCAACGAAATTTGCCATCAACTTCAGACATGCACTTTGTTAATTGGCTCAAAAGCTACATTTTGAAAATTTGTCTAAAAGATCTGATTAGAAATTGTGATCTAATGAAAGAGCCTCCGAGCCAATAATTTTGTACGGCACTGTACTTCTAAGTACTCTAGGTTTCATGAAAAAAAAATATAAGTACAAGATAACATTAAAATATCAGTCATATTTTTCGTTGCTGTGAACTTGTTTTAAAACTTTTCTTTTCCTTTCTTTTCCTTAATATAATTGTAAAACTCTGTGCACGTCATTTTGAACGTATTTAGGTACATATACTCATCATCAACTATTGCTTGTGCAAAGTTCAACTATCTCGAAATGTGACTATTTCACAAATGAAACCGGTGCACTGAAGTTTAGAGTTAAAAAAGCGTGCTAAATTAAAAAAATACGCATTTGAAAGAGCACCAACCCAANTGGTGCACTGAAGTTTAGAGTTAAAAAAGCGTGCTAAATTAAAAAAATACGCATATGAAAGAGCACCAACCCAACTCGTAATACATTTAAGTATACAAATTTTTGTATTTAGTATAGAAATATTCAATTCAAATACGCCCATATTAAAATGAAACGATTTGCAATTACCGATTGCTTTTTCATAATTAAGTTATAAAAAATATTTAAATTCCGTGCTGGTTGTAATGGGAATTGAACCCTCACCCTCTGGAAATTAGCAAATTGTGGCAGGCATCTTCGTGCACTCAGCTACAGCCAAACATGTAAATGCGCATTTAAAGGTTGAGTTTGAATCATTACCACGCGTGCGTGTTATGAAAGTATTATTTTTAAATACGAAAATTTTTANCATAAATGCGCATTTAAAGGTTGAGTTTGAATCATTACCACGCGTGCGTGTTATGAAAGTATTATTTTTAAATACGAAAATTTTTAAACGATAATCAAAAAGAAAAGATTCATGTTTACTATGCGTTATTTCCCTCAGTGAATTCATAACATTTTTCTGAATATTACAGCGCGTTCTTTCTCCTAGTGTAGTGATTTTTGAACTTTTATTCAAATTTGTGCAATCAAATCAAAAACCGGGACACTAAAACGAAACCCGGGACATTTTAAGGTTGGACCGGGACACCGGGACAAATAGTCTAAAACCGGGACATGTCCGGAAAAACCGGGACGTCTGGCAGCCCTATATTAGAGACCAATTGGCACTGACAAAATCATTTGTATGAGTAGTAAATTCCTTAAACACTTATTCGTATGCTTTTACGTTAAAATTCTGCTAAACTGTAAAAGATTATGAGTTTATCATGCTTTAATTTTTACATTTATTGCTTGCCTCAAATCAGCAACGGATAAACTTTCTAATGATGGCATACTATCAAGGCGAATTTATACAAGGTGGTGTTAATGGCGAATTTAGATTTTCGCCGCAGTACTTCCTAATGTCAAAATTATGTGTTTGTTGTAAGCAAGGCGGATTCATATTACAACAAACCCATCATTCTGACATTAAGAAGTACCGCGGCGAAAATCTAAATTCGCCATCAACACCTNATGACGATGATGATCATTGATGTTTTCAAAAAAAAAATAAAACATTGCTCCTATC